AATTTAACTTTTTTGAATATGTGACATTATTATTACTATAAGAAATTAAGGTTTTAAAAACAAAAATTTAGAAATAAAATATTTTGTAGCTTAAAGTGTTATTATTTTATTTTTGAATGGCAAAATTGGGCATTTAGTAATTAATTACTAATCTTTTGAAATCAAAAGTTTTGTCTCAAAAAATAAACTTCTTTGGGATCAGGTTATTTTATTCCTAAAAGTACATTTATTAGTGATATTTTCAAAATTTTGTCCCTAATAGCTCTTTTTTTTTTTTACTTTTTTAAATGACTTATTTGCAACTATTCTTGCGACAGTTGAAATTAGTTCTTAAATATTTTTTGTAATAAAATTTATAATTTTAAAGATAAAAAAACAACAACAACAATAACAGCAACAATAACAACAACGTAATCTTTAAAACTATTGTATGTTGTGGTGATTCAATATTGATATGTTCAACAACAATTGTACAAATCATCTTTATGCCTCATAGCACTACAACAAAAACATACTTTAGTGGCACTACACTAGTGGCATATTTTTAGAAAATGTCACAAAAAATGATATTGAAAATGCCACAAAATGACAAACATAAAAGGCTCTAGTGACATTTCAACGAACAAGTGTCACAAAACTACAACTAAAACACATTTTAGTGACACTATATTAGTGGCATGTTTTTAGAAAATGCCATGAAAAGAATATTTGGTGACACATTTAGAAAAATGCCACAGAACTACAAACATATAAGGCTCTAGTGACATTTCGATAAAGAAATGTCATATCAATTTTATGGCATTTTATAAAAGAATGACACAAGAAATTAATTTAGTGACATTTATCAACAAATGCCACTAAACTTTAGTAGCAATGGCATTTTTTAAAAAATGTCAATAAACTAAGTAGATGCAAGTTACTTTTTATGGCATTTTGACAACTGCCACTTAGTCAAAAACTTTTCAAGTTATCTAATGGCATTTTAAAAAAAAAAAAAATTGCCAATATACTTCCAAAATTTTTAAAATGCACAAAATAAATATAAATAAATAAATTGAACTCAATATAATATGTTTTTCAACTGTACATAACCACATGTACAAAATTGAACTCAAATAAATTCAGCTCAATATAATAAAATTTGAAATTGGCCTCCTATATAATGATAAATTACTAATTTGAGCCAAAATAAAAAAAAACTTTGTGTCAAAATCAATTTAATTGAAATTACAGGAATTAAAATTACACAATAGCAAAAAATAGAGGACTAACAGTGTAATTTGCCCTAATTGTTAGCATTTTTTTAATGAAAAAAATGCATATGTCATTCTTTTAGAGGCAAAATTATAAATTTGCTCAAATCAATAAATTAATCTCAACCAATTTAGTAATCATTTTTCGTCAAAAATACCAACGGTATTATCAATTAGACCAAATTCATACAAACTTAAGATTAATCTAATTAAGTGTGTAAGTACCCAAGTTGCTATTTATTTATTTTGATACTAAAATGTGAACAAAATCATTTCAAAATAAATAAATTAATTGACTTTTGGTATACCAGTTTAACACTTCATTACCAATGCTCTATATAATAAATAAATTAATTGACTTTTGGTATACCAATTTAACACCTCATTACCAATTCTCCATATATATATATAGAGTGTAGATTATAGATTTGATAAAAACAGAGGAACTGAGACTTACGGGAAAGCAAAGGAAAAAAAATCCCTAAACTACACCAAATGAATTAGAGTAGCTGTGGGATAAAATTGATTTTGGTGAAGCAATCCAATACACGAATCCAACAAATCTGAGATACCCCAATCCACAAGTCGAACAAATCTAAAATTGGTGAAGCAAAATCAGTTTTGGCGGGATAACGAGGCGGGAGTGAAATAATGAAGCCAAGGTTTTTCATTCTTCATCTTTCACGCCACTCTTATCCAACATCTACACCACAAATTTGCAGTTTTTTCATCTTCTACAATCTACTGAGTTCGTTAGGTATTCTTTCTCTCTTTCTCACTCTCACACACAGAAGACCTCTATTTTTCCCTCTTATTTATGATCTTCATATAAAACTTGATACAATATGAAAATCTAATCTTTTAACCCATGAATGTATTAATTTTCATCTTTTAATATCAAGGGTTAATTGTGATTTACTATTATTGTATTTATGTTGTGATTTTATATAATGACATGCTAGTGTTTGTTTAAATGTCTCAATGAGATCTTGCATAAGTTTACTCTTATTTATTTTATTTTATTTCTCCTGCTGTAAGGATGAATAAGAAAAAAAAAAAGTTAAAAAAATTCCTTCTATTAGATTTGGTTTTGATTTTATATTAGATATTTGTTCAATGTTTATGTGGCTGTTGATGAATTTTTTTTTTAAACGTTTTTTTTTTGGGTTTCTATGGATAATAATTTGGTGATATGGGTAGATGAATTCTATTTTTCCAAGTTAGTTATGTGATCCAATGTTTGGGTTACCATGCTATGCCTAAAATTTACTATCATATGCTGTCATATGATGATTTAACTGAAACATACCAGTGGCAGATGCAAAAATTATAACTACATGGGGCCATACTTGATAATGAAGTTATAATTATTTCTTTCGTAGCAACTGTATCGTACGTAACTATATTAAAAGATACATTTTTAGCATAAACAATGAAAAATAACATTAAATCCACAAATAAAATTGTCAATCAAGAAAGAGTATTTTTGGCTCACATCACTCAACACACTCCATAAAAGAGGCCAGCAAGACCTACAAACAGTTAGCTAACAACATAGCTTGAAACAAATAGTTAGAACCAATCCTAAGAGAGATTAGCAGCAAATTAGAACAAATCAACAAAACCCAAGTTTGGTTTGTGCTAAAACATCATTTAATGCCTTCAATTTTATTTTTTCTTCCCCACTAAAATTGCATATGAAAACCAAAATACATCCTCAAAATATACTGCAAAACATAATTGGGTGTTGAGGCCAAAAAAGATCATGATAAAATCTGAGAGGGCACTTATAGGATGGCATCATAAGAAGTCAAACAAAATAGTTTTCTGGTGAGAGTAACAACACTGGACCATTTTCCATTGGCATTAAAAATAGAAAAAACATAGCTGTTACCTTCCATGAGGTGTCATGGAGCATCTAATGGGAACGGGCAACTTTTTTTTGAAACTGCTCATATCTCTCACCAGCTTTATGGAAATTTCAAATTAACCTTTTCAGTTACCCTGACAGCAGTTTTAAATGGTGGACATACACACAGAGGAAACTGATATACGATTTCTCTTCATTTACACCATATCATACAACAAAAACATAACAACCCATGGACAAACCAAGTGTTTTTCAACATGACATTCAGTTAACTAATACTTTGTTATAAGGCTGAAATGAGTCTTAAATAAAAAAGCACCCCTGTTGACAACAAAATCTGGGCACAACAATATTGTGGCAGTGGCAGCACCTAGGTAGGACAACCAATGTGGTTTCTTCACCTGGGCAGCAAGAACACAATGTTGCAGCAACCCAACCATGTATAAGAAAAAGTATAAGAAAGGGATAGAAGACGTTTCTTATCTCAATAGAAAAAAAAACAATCCTTCTAAATTAGTACTTCATTTATTTAAAAGGAAATCAAGAGCGTTGTCAAAACATAACATGAAGCACTCCTCCTAATCAATTAGTACCCAGTTTTTTAAGTTTTGTTCCCACTTGTTCCAATTCTTAGCATACACACAGTAATCATAAGCAAATTGAAAGATTATGAAATAGAGTAAAATCAAAATCCATTTTTCTCAAAACCAACACAATGACAATATAAGAATGAGCCTAATGAAAGAGTCACAATTTTAAAATAAATAAATAACTGACCTCATTACATAAAAAGCAATTATATATCATCTAACTAAGAGCTGATCTCATAACATAAATAATTGATCCCATCACACTAAAAATAAATAAATAATTACTAAAAGTTGCACCATCCCTTTTGCATTCTTAAAAATGTATTTGATTGGGTTAACTCTTTCAATTTTTTAGAAAAAGTTTGTGCTGCCTTTGAATCTCCAATCTAAGTAAACATACAAAGATCCCAAAGGAAAACCGAAAGGAATTATATTCTGAGAAAAATTCAAAAAGAATTTAGATTTTAAATATTTGAAGTTTAAAGTGGAGAAATAAATTGACATGTTGGATTCCAATATTTGGTTTAACTATTGCCCACAAAGCCCCAAGTAAATTCTTAAGATTTGTTTGGATTTCAAGTCAGCACATAGAGTGGTGACAAGGAAGATTATTAAGCATACCACCAAGAACTATGTCCATTTATCTCAAAAGGCTTCCCAGCAAAATGGTTAACGATTATTATTTCTCTATAGATATTTGATTTCAAAGCAAGACTAACTGCTTACTACTTGAAGCAACTTCTCTAAAACTAATCTTAACAATTTTTCCATATTAAACAAAAAATATTTATAATGCGCACTAATCTTGACAATTTTTCTTTATTCTTGTCAATAGGACTTCAATTCATTACCTTGCATACTTGTATGAATTAGTAATATGCTTTTCTGATGTTGTGTTTATTGGTGGGAAATTTTAAGTGTTCTAAAATAGCATAAAACAAAGTTATCATCGTTCATTGGAACTATTGTGCGTGATGGGAAAAATGCACCACTCACTTACAAGAATTGGCATAAAGTCCCAGCACATTACAAAGATCACATATGGGCACTTGTATAGGTAAATGACACAATATTGTGCGAAAGATGATCACATGTGAAAAATAATAAACATGAGTAATGTGATTAAAACAACACTCTTTATAATTTTGTTTATTTTTAATTTTTTATGTGGGAAGATTAATTTTTTATTATTGTATTCTTCTCTCTCTCTCTCTCTCTCTCTCTCTCTCTCTCTCTCTCTTTTTTCAGTCAAAGTTTGATCTTCCAAGTCATGCTAGGAAGTGGGTTATGAAGTGCTTTGGTAAGAAGTTAAAAGACTGGAAGGCAAACAATAAGAAAAATTATTATAAGAACCACTTGAGTTTTGACGAACAAAAGCATTATAAAGATAGTAGAGTATATGCTGATCAGTGGGAACACCTTATTAAGTATTGGGCTATCGAAGAAGTAAAGGTATACTCGATCTGATCATTATATGTTATTTTACTTGTTGTAGTTTGGACACCATTAATTTATGCATTTGTAATTTTAGGCACAAAGTGATAAAAACAAAGCAAGTCGTGCAGAGCGAAAGTATAATCATACTACTGGAACAAAAAGTTTTCCACGTGTTCGAAAGGAGCAGGTTAATTCATCTTTTCATGTTGTATATTTAATATGATAAGGTATACATAATGTGACATAATGATATAATTTATATTTTGGAAAATATTATTTTGTAGAAAAATGAGTTGGGACACTCTCCAACTCGTGCTCACATGTTTAAAGTATGTTATACAAAGGAGACAGGAACTCCTGAGGCAACGAAAGCAATGATAGTATGTACCAAGTAATTATGTCCATTTGAACTTGTAGATTAGTTAAAATTTCCACATTATAGTGTTGAGTTATTGAAATGTATATATTAAGTTATGTTTTTTGCAACCTTATAGGATGAAATGAATGAGAGGACAACCTTAAATGCAAATTTATCAAATAAGGGCCCAAATGATGCATTTGGACAAGTGATGGGTAAAGAAAAACATGGACGAGTTTGCATGTATGGATTAGGTGTCTCCCCGTCTAATTTATGGAGAGATACATCTGGTCATAAAGCAAACCATGACACAACAATGGATGTTATGGAAGCTGAAAATTCGGAGCTAAGGTCCAAAGTTTCCCATGTTCAACATGCTTCGAATAACTTGACAAACACATCTAATCAGGTAATTTTTTTAATAGAATTTATAAGTTATTAATGTTTTCCTACACTTATATATGCATACATATATCTATTTGTGTGTGTTTGTAAAATTAAAAAGTTCAAATTTGGTTAGGCCACAACAACTTCTACTCCTCTCGACATGGCAGCTCAACATCAAGCATGGTCTTTGTCATCGATACAAGATACTTCTCTTACTCAGGTACCTACTAAGAGCTAATCATATAGATCACATTACTTCCAACTTTATTTTAGAATAGCATGCAACATTTATTTTATAATTAACCAATGAATGAATATTGCGGACATAAATTTCATTATTTAAATCTAGACAAAATGTGCTACATAGTCTAAATCATGACATGATGAAGTTTGTGCTATTTTTTTTTTTAAAATTAATTTAATTTTCTTCTAAAGCTTTAACAAGACACACTACAACAAAAGTAACCTATGGTGACGAAAACTAGTGATGAAAATAAATTTTGTCACTAAATAAAAATAATTCGTGAGGAATGTACAAATTTTGTCACATATATTAAAAAAATAAAAATAATAGGTGACGAAATTTATTTCCGTCAATAAATACTTCCCTTTAGGTGAGAAAAAATTAAGTTTCGTCACCAAAAAGTTTCCCGCTAATTTTTGTGGGTGGCGCTAAAAATTTTGGACTTTTGGTGAGAAAAAAATTTTATTACCGCATGGGCTCTTTTTGATTCTCTCAAAATATTGCTTGAAAGTAATTAGTTGATTGTCATTTTTCACAATTACATTTGATTTACATCGTTGAGGTTAGGTGATCCTGATATTGATAATGGACATGGTTTTCATTGTCATTGATTGGTGCTTTTGGTTGTTATTGATTTTTTAAGCTATTGTTTGATATGGTCTAAAGCTTTACGGTTGTTACTTTTATATAATTTGTTGTAGTGTAGTGAACCAATTAAGTGATTAAAGCATTTGGCTTGCTTATCTACTAGAGAAATCCATATCACTTTCAATTGTGATCATCTTCACTCTAGCACTTTGTACTAGTTTTTTTTTAATATTAGCGATTTAATTTTAAATATACAATTACTTAAGTAGTTAAATCTTGATTTACAGGTGAGAGATATAATTGTTCTAAAAACTATCATTAGGCCAACAGAAACAGTTGCAATCGGAGTACTTAAAAGCACAAACGCATCTAAAGAAGTAGAAGGGGAAGAACTGGGACCTGACTATTGGGAGGTACATGTTCAAGTGCCAATCAAGCCTAGTGAGAGCTTGATCCGATCATATGGACTTGTCAAAACAATTGGACAAGCTATTGGAGCTCATGTTGCTTGGCCTGCTCCATTTGTGATATATTTCTTTCGTAAATACTAATTTTATTAATAAATTTATATTAACTTAATATAGGTTCAATTACCTTCATATTTTTATCTTTTGGATGCAGATTTCACAAGTTATGGATGCTAGCCGAGAATATTTATACAAGTGAGGTTGAGAATTTGGGAACTGATTTTATTTTTTACTCTGATGAATGAATTAATAAATTGTCTTCTTTAAATAATGCATGTCAATGGTATATAATGGGTTAATTTTGAGGGCGTGACAATGATGGTGTAGTGTCACTTGCAAGTATCTACCGTGGCACTCGTATCTACCGTGGCACCGATAGAAGTGGCACTTGTTCAAAATGCCACAAGACCAAAAAATGTCATTAGAAGAATAGTTTTGTGGCACTTTCAAATGTCACTAAACTAAGAAAATGTTGTAGTGTACGATGTATTCAATTTTTCAAAGCTAGCTTTTCTTATATTCTTTGTAACTATTTTTGTGTTCATAATGTTTGGTCAACATTTTCTACTTATGGTGCTGGTCAGTGGTCCATATTTTCCACAAAATAGCCAGCTCTGGCTGATTGAAATGAATGTGAGATCTACACGAGTATAATTAAAAGATTAAAAAAAATTATATTTTGATAATGATGATTAAAGGCTTATTTGACAAATAGTTAAAAGTTAATTTTTTATTTTTAATTTATTTTGGATTACATCATCTTTCATATTTTTTACTCATTAAAAAATAAAAAGGTCAAAAAAAATAAAAAAAACTTAACTTTTAATTAACTTCTCAAAACACCATTAAGATTGATAGTAATGAATCATGATGGAGGAATCGTGGGTATATGGGAGAAGCACTACGGTGGGGAGGATAACGGGGGTGAGAAAAAGTTGGAAGTTCCAAAATAAACGATGTTTGGGACCTTTTTTTTTTAAGGACTCCCATAATTTCTTTTGGATCTCAATTATTAATGTGTGTATAGGACTCACTCATATATGTATGAGGTCCACACCATTAATGATTGAGATCTAAAAAAAATTATGAGTCTAAAAAAAAAGATCTCAATCATTTTTTGTTCCAAAATAGTGTGATGAACTATGAGGTGGTGGTTTCAAGTGATAAGATGGGTTACAGCCTAAAGGTGGTGGAGGTTCTAGATGATAGTTTAAAAATAAAAAAGTAAATAAAAGAAAAAAAATCCTACCAAAATGATGTATTATGATTTTAACGCTATGTTTAGTGGGGGGATTTGAGAAGAGATTTGGAAAAAGAAATTAAAAAGGTAGGTGAAATGTGAATAAAATATATCTATATTAGTTTCAATGAGACTGTACTTACTACTTTGGGTCTAAATTAGCCTCTCTTTGTTGGTTTAAACCACACTTACTACTCAATGAGACTGTACTTACTACTTTATTAGAATCACACTTATTACTCAATGAGACTCTACTTACTACTTTATCAAACTTGATTTATCAACCATTTAAACCACACTTACTAGTCAATGAGATTGTACTTACTATTTCATCAGACTTGACTTACCACTCATTTGAATCACACTTACTACTCAATGAGACTCTTCTTACTACTTTATCAGACTTGACTTACCACTCATTTGAATCACACTTACTACTCAATGAGACTTTGTTTACTACTTTATCAGACTTGACTTACCAATCATTTAAGCCACACTAACTACTCAATGAGACTGCACTTGCTACTTTATCAACTTGACTTATCACTCATTTAAACAATACTTACTACTCAATAAGACTCTACTTATTACTTTATTAGACTTGACTTATCAATTATTTAAACTAAACTTAAGACTACATTTACTATTTCATCAAGCTTGATTTTTTTTCTTACCGCTTGAATCTCATAATTTTTCGTTTAACTAGGTGGAATGTTGTTCCAACAAAACATAAAAATTTATAAATTCAAAATATAATACAAGTGAAAGTAAAAAGAGAGAGAGATTTACCTAAGAAGTTCCAAATCAACAACAATTCTGTCTTAAAATCTTCAAAAGTTTTAGAAATGAACATCAAATTTTGTTTATGGTATCCTCAAATGAATTTGAAATTTTCCTATATTTTGTTAATCATATTTCTCATTAATTGCATTTATTGTGGTAGATGAAAAAGATAGTAGGTTTCATTTATTGCCATCAAGTAGATAAATAAAAAAAATCATATTCCATAAAAATTATAATAAAATTTATAAATTTCATATTTATTTTGTACATTTTTTTTGTTTACATTCTATTTTATAAATTTTATATTTATTCTAGAGGTTAGGTGCATTTTATTAATGTTTGAATGGTAAGTGTAGTTATGTGAAATAGTAAGTACAACCATATCAAGTATAAGTGTGTTTAGTTGTTGTAGTAAGGTTGAAACTACTCATTTAAACCATACATACTATTTTATCAGACTTACTTACCACTCATTTAAACCACACTTACTACTCAATGAGACTCTACTTATTACTCAACAATCTTATCTTCAAATCTTCAAATATTCAAAATTTTTAAAAATAAACATAAAATTTAGTTCATGGAATCCTCAAATAAATTTTAAATTTTCCTATATTTTATTAATTATATTTCTTCATTAATTGCATTTATTATTTTTAAGTGTGGTAAATGAAAAGGAAACTAGGTTTCATTTATTGCCATTAAGTTGATAAATAAATAAAAAAAAATCATATTTCATAAAATATAATAAATTATAATAAAATGTATAAAATTCACATTTATTTTGTATAATTTTTTCTTAAATTCTATTTTATAAATTTTATATTTATTTTAGAGGTTTTGAAAATTTATTATAACTTAATTTTTTAAGTTTACTTGTTACCTGAATGGCAGGTTAAGTGTATTTTATTAATAATTGAATGGTAAGTATAATTATTAAAAATAGTAAGTATAAAATTCATATCAAATAGTAAGTGTACTTAGTTATTGTTGTAAGTTAAAAATCACTTTTTGGGTTCAAAACCATTGAAAACTACCTTATCTTTTATGAAACTACCTAGATTTCTTAACCTGGTTTTAATTATTACCAATCAATGGTTAGATTTATTTTACTTTTAGATCTAATGGTCCAAATTTATTTATGTATGGTACATAAAAACCACCTTCATGTATCATAAAAAAATCCGTGTACACATATACATATACATAGCCCAAGCATTTATTGCATGACCCTATATCGTGCTCGCTCCTTAATTTATCAATTAATATTAAAAATTAATACCAAGCTTATTTTTGAAAAAATATGAGACACAAAACATATGTTATTGTATTTATGAGAAACAACAAATTAACAATGTTATATAATGTTTTAAAATTATTAAATAATTATTCCATCAAAATATTAATTCTTACATTTGATTAACTAAAAATCTGAAGGTGTTTGGAGTCAATATACTAATTCTATTATAAATTCTTATGATTATATAAGAGTGCAGATAAAAGTGAAAGTTTTGGATTTTTGGTAAAGTGAAAGATTACAAATAAACACTTTTAGGTAATAGTTAATTAACTAAATAAAGGTGGAATGAAATTAAATGGTCGTTATGTGGTGGCAGTGGTGGTGATGAGGATGACCATGGTAGTTGGGGTAGCAGTGGTGGTAGCGACGACAGTGATAGTGTGGTCATAGTAGTGATAGCGATGCTTGTGTGTAAACAAATTATAAATTTAACTAACATAAAATAAATTTTCTATTATTTAAACTTTTAACTTATATTCAAGAGTCATTTAAACTTGTATAAGTTTCAAATGAGCTTGATTGGGCTAGTGGTGATTGTTGGGCTTTGATACCACTTGTGTTTATTCCTTCTAATTATGGAGCTCATATGCAGTTTATTTTTTTTCCTAGTTTGGGCTAGTGGTGATTGTTGTTAGGTATGATGACTGTTGGCTTTCTACCTATTATTTCAACTTTTGTTGTTCAGCCTTCGTTTGAGTAGCTCCATTTAGGAAATTTTTTTTTATTTTTTTGTTTATTTGTTTGGATGTGATAATTGTGAGAGAAAAAATAAAATGATTATAATTTCGATATGATATTTTGTCTTATTGATACAAGTAGTTTATTTTATCCTTTTGTGTCAATTTAGCCACTTTAACCCTTCTCAAACAAGACCTAAATTTGATGTAATTACTCTTTTACTAATTTTAAATACTGAATTGAGTTATCAATTATCACCTAAACTAAGATTTGACTATAAATCGAACTTGATACCATTGTTGAATTTTACCAACATTGTTTGGTTGTTATGCGGCCTCTCATATTGTATGATAAGTCCCCACCTTATACATACCTATAGAGTTTGTTGTACAGATATGCTAAATTCATATCGAAGAGCATTGCAGAAATCTCAATGTTACTTAGGCCAGGTTAACAATTTCACTAAGACAACATACTTGCATTTCAAAACCTGTCAAAATAGAAAACTTGGAGGTGAAAATGTGAACAGCATGTAAATTCAAAATAGAAAATAGCCCACATTGCATAAAAGCAGCCTACATTGTAACGCCCCCAAAATTAATATACAATTACATCCACAAACATATATAATTGATAGTATAAATCAGAGTCTTAGTCCTTTCATTTAATATAATTAATGATTACAAGAGTTTGACAGAAGTAATTGCCCTATTGGCTTACACCTTTCCAAGCATTTAACTTGGTTACAACAAAAATGAGCTTCGCTCATTACATCTTAAGCCCTTGGCTCTACAAAAATATACAATCAAAAGATAAAGCTCTTGCTTCTGAAAATTTCTCCAACGTTATTGCCTAGGTGGAGGCATGCCATCATTACCTGAAATGTTATTCCCAAATAGGGTGAGCCACAGCCCAGTAGAAATTATCTAACATGATATATGAAACTTAGCAAAGATATAAATACAAGTGCATAAACAATGTTTGAGTCAAACCTTTCATGATTATAATATTTATCAAATATCAATTTAAAACCTTAACCCATTCACTTCCAAGTCTTATTCCGGTCATGGTTCAATATCATTA